GCCCCCCCCGCCGCTTTCTGCGCCACTTCGGGGAGCAGCCAGGCAGGCTGCTGCAGGGAACGGGGGCAAATCCCTTAGAGACCCAGCACCAAGAAGTGACCCGTCCATGCCTCAAAACCATGAGCCAAAGTCCTTCAGATCCCAGAGTTCCCTTCACCTTCTCCTGAGGCTCATTCTTCGGGGACAACGTGACCCAGAGCGCCCCCCCCGCCGCTTTCTGCGCCACTTCGGGGAGCAGCCAGGCAGGCTGCTGCAGGGAACGGGGGCAAATCCCTTAGAGACCCAGCACCAAGAAGTGACCCGTCCATGCCTCAAAACCATGAGCCAAAGTCCTTCAGATCCCAGAGTTCCCTTCACCTTCTCCTGAGGCTCATTCTTCGGGGACAACGTGACCCAGAGCAGAACCCTTAGGACATCGTGGGGGGGTTACACCAGGGGAGATTTGCCCCGCTGGGTTTCAGCGCTTTCCCGGAACTCCTGGAAGGCGCGTTCCAAAACTCTTGCTCATTTCACTTGGGTTGGGTGGGGGGAAGAGAACATGCCGCTAACCTGCCTTAAAGACAACCGAAGAAAATGCTGCCCCCGGGAACCCTTCATTTCATCCCGAAAGAGCCAGGCGGCAACACAACCCGTTGTAAAATGGTTCCCCGGCGTGCCTGTGATTGTGTTTCACAACCGGCCTCACAATCAGCGTGCACGGGATCACTGCGCACAGAGTTTTTCACCAGTTTTCTCTGTGTCTGGGCCCTTGGCTTGTGGCGCTCGGGAGGAGAACTGGGGGTGGATTTCTAGGCAGCTTATCCACTGCTTTATCTTTGGCTTTGCTGTTCACAGAGAGAAGCAGTCGGGCTGGGGAATTTCAAAGAGAATTCCATTCTTGTCTGCGCCAGCGTGATTTGAAACATAGGAGCCGGATGACAGGAAGAGCCCGGCCCATTTCTGGTTTACAAACAGGACTCGCTTACTGCCCCTCCATGATCAAATCAAACTTCAACCAACTCCCTTTGAACTGAAATGTCTCCCCACTGGCTTCTACCTATCACGCAGCACACGACTGGACGCCGTTCCAGGGATTGTCCACAAGCCATTTGTTTCCCAGTCTAAAATCCGCCCTTCAAATGTTAATAATCTGGGGGGGGGGCGTTTTCTAAATTAAACAGCAAAAACAAACCAAAATCCAACAGCAATTTTCTCCCCTTTAAAAATCAGCTCCGTGTCTTTCTCCTCCCGCGACCGAGGGAGTCTTGCGCACGAAAGGACATGCCTTGAAAATCTTTCCAGTCTAGCATTCGCAGAAGGGGAATTTTCGGAATTATACACTGAAGGGCCAGATCCTCCTCTGGTAAATATCAGGGCAGTTCCGGGGACTTCAACAGAGCCACGCCGATTTGTACCCACGGAGGATCCGGCCTTTTGTTTCCTCCTGAGAGGCTAGTTTTGCAAGCTGCAATTTCTGGGGACGGACTGTCTTTCTTGGAAGTATTTGAGCTGCATTTTCTCTGACCGTTTATAAAACCCGTTTAAAAAAAAACCCACGCCAAATAATGAAAACCGACCAGCCAGCGGCTCATTCTTCCACGTCAATCAGGATACGGAGGTGTGAGGAGAGCGGCTTAGTGTTTCGCTTACCTGCGCCAGGTCCTGCTGGTTTTCCAAGATCCTTATAGCAGGTTTGATGTCTTCAAAGACCGAGGCGTCTTCTGCAGACTCCCTGGACATTTTGACGGGTTTTAATTGTGCAAACACCGTACTTTCTTCAAGATTTGGGGTGCTCAGGACCAGCCCACTGCTGCTCATCCCTCCTGCCGCCCCCTAGCCCCCCCACTTCTTAGTGTGTTATAAACCAAAGTCTAAAAAAGAAAAGAAAACAGGGTTTGGGCAAAGCTGGGAGGGATTCCGGAACTCGGAAGCAAGCCCCTTGCTAATCCTCAGGCATCCAGGTGCACTGTAGCCTTAAGAAGTCTGATCTGTTACAGAAAAGTCTTACCTGTCCTGAAGTAGGAGGCACACTAACCTGGCAAACTTCAGTGACAGGCTGGCTGAGCCAATCGGGACTGGAGCTAACGCAGCTCTGGCCAATAAGCTGGCTGACGTCTCCTTAAGGCAACAGAAGATACAGGGAGGACAGTCTGCCTGCCTGTAGCTCTTTGCACCAGCCATGTTACCTGGAGCAGGTCTACCCAGCGAGGGAGCAAGAGACAAGGGGGGAGAAACTTACAGACGGGCTTTCGCGAGACTCCACGGCACACTTGTGCCTGTCGGTCGGGGCTTTTCACAACCGTTTTACACCAGCAAAGAGCCCTTGGGTGGACGCAGCAGGAGCCACAAAATCGTCCTTTTTTTCAGCCACGGAACGGCCGTGAACTCCACCAGCAAAAAAACGTTTTGCCAGCACAAGCTGCATCTCCCCGGGGTTTGCCAGTGTAGCGATACCAGGAGCACAGCAGTCCCTTTGTACCGCAGAGAAGCCCTGCGTGACATGGGTGTAGGGGTGTTGCATTGTCCCCTGTCAGGGTCTGGGCACTCCCCCCAGTTCGACACCCCTCCTGTCAGTGCGGCATTGGGACACTCTTACCCAAACAAAGCAAACTTCATGAACAGGAGTGCGGTGAGCAAGCCACGAGAAGTCATTCTTCCGCTCTGCTCCGTGCTGAATAGGCCTCAGGTGGAGTATTGTGTCCAGTTCTGGGCATCGCATTTCAGGAAAGATGGGGGAGAAATTAGCGAAGGTGCAGAGAAAAGCAACAAAAATGATTAAAGGTTGAGAAAACACAACCTGGGAGGGGCGACTGAAAGAACTGGGCTTGTTTAGTTTGGAAAGGAGAAGACGGAGAGGGGACACGAGAGCGGTTTTCAAGTATCTAAGAGGGTATCACAAGGAGGAGGGAGAAATTGTTCACAGCACATGTCGAGGGCCGCAACTGAAGTGTGGTTGCATACGCATGCAACTATATATGCAAATATATGCAAATAGCTTCTTTCACACGGACAGGCATGAATACAAAGATTAAGGCAAGACTATATAACACGCAGGCCCCATTTAAGTCCGTTCTGGTGATATTAATAAAATGCAACATTTACCCGCTTTCCACCCAGATGACAGCACTTTTAATCCTAGAATCCTAGAACACTAGAACTGGAAGGGACCTCGAGAGGTCATCGAGTCCAGTCCTCTGCCCTCATGGTGGGATCCAGCACCGTCTAGACCATCCTTGATTGATGTCTATCTAACTTGCTCTTAAAACGAGCATCTATTACTGGAGTGGGTGAGTGAGGTTCTGTAGATTGTCCAGGGGGGTCAGACTAGATGAACACAATGTCTCCTTCTGGCCTTAATTCTATGAAAGCCTACAAAAAGATTTGATTTTTTTTTTAACTACTGGGGAAAATCTGACTTCCAGGTTTGTTTCCTCTTCCCTGCTTTTCTCTACTGGAAAAAAGAGGGAAAGTTTTACAAGTGAGCATGAGGCTGGGACACACTTTCTTGTACTTTCAAACTGTTTCCAGTGGAGGAAGGTGGGGGAATGTCTTACCTTTCCACTAGAAAATGGAGCAAAAGAGTGAGAAAGACAGAGGAGAGAAAACTCAAAGTCAAAAGGAAACAAATCAAAACAAAGTGATTCTTAAACAAGTTTTTTTTATGTTGCTTCACTACATTTCATTTTTAAAAAACTTTTTTAAAAAACTTTTTTTCAAGAAAGTGAAAAGTTGCAAATTAAAATGGTTCTTTTCCCCCTGAGCTTTTCAACCAGTTCTGGGCCTCACAGCCTTGTTCTATTCACAGAGACACCATGGCTAGGGTTGCCAGATGGTTTCAGAAAAAATATCCCCCTCCCTCCAAAAAAAAAGGACTCCAAGAGTTGTTAAGCAAAAAAAAAAAAAAAAAAACCAGCGTGGCCCCTTTAAGAAACGCGTAGTGAAACTTTTTGGCCCTAACAGGTTGCTGGCAGCCGCCTCGCATCTTGCCTCCCTGTGCCAGGCCGGGCAGCTCCCCTGCAGAACCTGGTACGCACTAGGGTTGCCAGGCTGCCTCTGTATTGAGCCAGACAGCCTAGGATTTTTGCCTCCTGCCCGGGAAAAAATCAGAAAGTACTGGACATGGCAACCCTAACCAGGCAACCCTAACCAGGGTGGATATAGGGCAACCAGGTCTGGTAGAGTGAGAATTAAACTGCTGGCCTCTGCCTGTCTCCTTCCTATTTTGCTGCATCTCCCTGCAGAAGCAGGAGCAGCCAAACCACCCACCAGGCCAAGGCTGGTCTCTGTTTCCAGCTCTCTGGAAGCAGGAAGCACAGGAAAGAGGACGTCCTGATCTCAGAAGGTTCCTGGCTTTGCAGACCCACAAGGGAAGATTTTCACGCGCATTCCTCGGGGCCGCCTCTCCAAACCTTTGCGGCTCAGTCATCCCTCACCATCAGAACGTGTGGAGCGATCACAATTGTCACGGTTCTGAGTTAGCACAGGGACAGCTGCCCAGGATGGAAATTACGCCTCCAGTTCCCGGTAAATATCCCCCTGGGCACAGTGTTGTGATGCGCTTGCAACTTACAAATGGCCTCAAATTTCTGGAGCAGACTCCTGAATCCATTCTGGCTACTTTGACCTGCATAAATCAACACAATTCATTGGAAATACTCAGTGTTGCGCCATGTGACACCCGTGGAGGATCTGGCCAAGCTATTTCAGTAGGGGAGCCAAGTCCCTACAGCTCTGTTTTCTGCAGTCAGACTTAGGGAGGGAAGAAAACGACTCTTGCTACTTTGCATCTGGCTGATCCCAGACTAGAATCACTTCCCTGCGGCCAGCCAAAGCATCAGTGGGGATGGAGAGCATCCAGTGCCTCACAAGAGCCGGCCTTTAACGCAAACACAGACAGTAAAGGTTTCCAAAAACATGCAAGCCACCTGTCCGTCCTTATTAGCGCCCCAGGCATTCGCCAGAACACCTAACACGCATGCAAAACAAATAGCAGAGCGCAGAGGCAAGACTTTGGACTGCAGGACACTCAGCAGGGTAACGTACGCTCTCAAAGAACGTCTCTGAATCCACAAGTCTCCGAGGGGCAGCCGTCTTCGTCTATAACTGGAAAAACTGTGCGCTACATCCCACATCCCAATGACATAACGAACCAAACAACAGATACTTAAAGTGGGTACTAAGTGTTCTTATCAGCTTCATGTAGCAGGGACACTCCAATTGACAATTTTCCTCCCTTTTTCTTTTCTTCTTTTTCCTCTTCTCCCCCTCCCCATCCCCGCTCTGTGCTATGTCTTTGAAAACTGGACCCCTTAAACTCTGGTCATCTGAAGAAGAGGGATGCGCCCAGAAAGCTCATGCTGCCCTCTACATGTCTTGTTCGTCTCTAAAGTGCTGCAGGACTGTGCGTTGTTTTTCTCTGACTCGTAATCTGAAGAAGAGGGATGCGCCCAGAAAGCTCTTGCTGCCCTCTACATGTTTTGTTCGTCTCTAAAGTGCTGCAGGACTGTGCGTTGTTTTTCTCTGACTCCAGTTTGCTGAATAAGTCACTGTCCTAATATTAAGGAGACGCTGGCGGGCAGAAACAAAACACTGCCTAAACCCTGTTATTACCAGAAGTGTCTTCAGGTCTCTTTTTATAGCTACGAAAACATTTAGAAGAACTGAAGGCGATGAAATGGACGAGAAGGAGACAGTGAGCGTGGCTAGTCTATTTCCCCTGTCCATGATACCTGAAATGCACATGGATAAACCCACAGCATAATCAGCTCAAAGCTTTCAAATCTCTGCTGTTTCTAATAATGCAAGGGGTGACTGTCATAGAACCCTGGAACCCTAGAACAGGAAGGGACCTCGAGAGGTCGTCGAGTCCAGTCCCCTGCCCCCATGGCGGGGCCAAGCACCGTCTAGATCAGCGGTCACCATCCAGTCGATCGGGATCTACCGGTAGATCTTGGAGCCTCTGACAGGGGATCCTGATTGGTTTGGCCAAGAGGCTGTCAAGTGCCGGCATTTGAGCTGCCCCTCCCCTTGCTGCTGCGCATCTCCTGCCCTTTGCCTTGGAGCTGCCTCCCCCAGCCCCGGGAATGGAGGGGGGCTGATGTCAAGGTGCCCTATCTCCACAGAGCAGAGAGGGGGACAATAGGACTTGGGATGGACTTTGCTGGCTGCTTTTGGGAGTGGCGCAGGGCCAGGGCGGGGGTGAGCCTGCCTTAGCCCCATTGCATCACCACCCCAGAAGCCACCTGAGGTAGGCCAGGCCCAGTCAGAACCCACATCCTGAACCCCCTCCTGCACCCCACGCCCCTGCCCCAGCCCCCCTACATCCAAAAACACTCCCAGAGCCTGCACCTAGACCCCCTCCAGCATTCCAACTGCCTGCCCCAAGCTCAGCTCAGAGCCCCTCTCGCGCTCCACCTTCCCTAATCCAAGAGCAGAGCCTGCACCTCAACCCACTGCCCCAGCCTGGTGAGAGCGAGGGAGGATGGGGGAGGGAGGATGGAGTGAGCAGGGGCGGGGCCTCAGAGAAGGGGCACAAAGGAGGCGGGGCCAGGGGATTTAGGTTTGAAGTAGATTTTGGATTGCACTTAAATTCAAAAAGTGATCTCGTGCTTAAAAAGGTTGGAGACCCCTGGTCTAGACCATCCCTGACAGGTGTCTGTCTAACCTACTCTTCCATATCTCCTAAATATCTCCTCACCTGCTCTTCGATATCTCCAGCGATGGAGATTCCACAACCTCCCTAGGCAACTGATTCCAGTGTTTAACCCCCCTGACAGGCAGGAAGTTTTACCTAATGTCCAACCTAAGCCTCCCTTGCTGCAGCTTAAGCCCATTGCTTCTTGTTCTATCCTCAGAGGCCAAAGGGAACCATTTTTCTCCCTCCTCCTTGTGACACCCTTTTAGGTCCTTGAAAACTGCTCTCATGTCCCTTCTAAGCTTTCTCTTTTCCAAACTAAACAAGCCCAGTTCTTTCCGTCTTCCCTCCTGGCTCATGTTTTCCAGACCTTGAATCGTTTTTCTTGCTCTTCTC